CGTGACCTGGGGGTCACGTGACCCCTCCCCCGAGGTCACGTGATCTCCCAGGTCACGTGACCCCCCCCCCCCCCTTTCCGAGGTCAACTGACCCCCCAGTACCCTTCCCTCCTCCTCAAGAGCTGCGCTCAAATTCGGCGTTACAGGGAGTTGTAAGCGGCTTTCATTTTTAGAGCGCAGCTCTTAGGGGCCCTTTCCCGGCTTGAGCGGCGTCGGCGTCGCCGTCGGCGTCGGCGTTGGCGTCGGCGTAACCAAGGTCATCCCAAGGTCACGTGACCCCCAAGGTCATCTCAAGGTCACGTGACCCCCCACGTGACCCCCTGAAGGTCACGTGACCCCCAAGGTCACGACCCCTCCCAAGGTCATTTCAAGGTCACGTGACCCCCAAGGTCACGTGACCCCCAAGTCACGTGACCCCTCTGAGGTCACGTGACCCCTATGAGGTCACGTGACCCCCGAGGTCACGTGGTCTCCTTCCCGAGGTCACGTGACCCCCAAGGTCACGTGACTCCTCCCAAGGTCATCTCAAGGTCACGTGACCCCCATGTGACCTCAGGGGGTCACGTGACCTGGGGGGTCACCTTGTGACCCCCATGTGACACCCAAGGTCACGTGACCCCCATGTCACTCCTCCCCGAGGTCACGTGATCCCCCTCCCCGAAGTCACGTGACACCCCCCCGAGGTCACGTGACCCCCCCCGGAGCATATTAAAGAATGAGGGAAGGAGGAGGAGAAGGAGGAGGGGTCTACCCTCTCCTCAGTATCCTTCCCTCCTCCTCCTCAAGAGCTGCGCTCCAATTCGGCGTTACAGGGATTTGTAAACGGCTTTCACTTTTTTTTTATCAATGATCTGATTGTAGATGAACCCACGATACAGTGTTGATTTTTCGCAATGCGGTGTACTGCTTTTTAAAAAAGCTTACGTTTCTGTTGTTTGTTTATTGATGTTTCATACTTAGGTGATAGCCTTCAGATTATTCTTTTTGTAGTGTTAAAAGTGACAGATGGACTTGAATGTTAAGAAATGCGTGCAAATTACAATAACGCGGAAAGTTAAGGTTCCGATTTAATTTCTCTACACTATTAACGCCAATGCTTTAGCAGTAGTAATGTATACAAGTATCTAGGTGTTACAGTAACCTCTTAAGCTGGCCTTTTCCCAAAGAACAGGCCAGTTCCAAAACGTCTAGAAAGCTGGGGTCGCTGCGAAGGACAATGATGCACTGCGCTCCTGAAACAAGGCAAACGGCGTATAAATATCTAATTGGTCCTTTACTAGAATATGCCTATATCTTTTGGGCGTCATTCGCAATAGTATATGGACCTTTTAGACGGGGTTAAACATTTATCAGACTCCTTTATTCGTAAGGCAAAGGATCACATGTTTCACCGTTGTATGCTGCGTCTGGACTGATTAAATTGTCACTTTTAAAAAAAAGTAAAGCGTTTAAAATTTGTGCATAGCATAATATATAAATAACACAACTTTTTTAAAGTTTGATGCCTATGTCCAGTATAACGTAAGCCATGAAACAAGACAGAAATATGAAAAACTGACTTGTGAGATTTGTGGCCAAAAAAACGTTCTAAAATATTAATTTTTTTCCTCGTATCGGTTACTAGTGAAACGACTTGCCCCGCAGCGTGACGGGTATTGGCTCTCTTGCTACATTTCCTAGGGCCATGAATGAACTTTTTTTCGTTAGAATAGACTCCAAGGACTAAATTGTTTGCTCGTTTCACTGAATGTTTATCTGTATTTATTTGCTTTGCTCACTTCTTTGTTCTGCCTACATCATTCCGTGACCTTCAAAAGTTGGTTGGTAGTATCTTCAAATTAAATTTTAAAAATATGCTTACCCTTATGGCCACATGATTAGCATCTACCACGTTTCGTCCGACACTCGCTTTAATTTTTGCTTGTTCGATACCAGGTGAAACAACGAAAAGGTTCGTGAAATCTGATAACGCACATTCGTTATCAAATGTGCGTTTTCAGAACGACCACCCAGATCACAATACCGATATATCATACACATCGACAACGCTCTCTCTCCCGGGCGCGTTTACGCCGTCGAGCAGCCGCCGTTTGCTCCGCCGTATGCTTCGCTCGCCCCATTCTGGCGCGCGAAGGCTAAGAGCGCCGAGGAAACGGCCGAACGAGGGCTAGAAAGAGCGGGTGGCGAGGAGTGCGATTAGATGACCCTCCACGCAATCGCGATTGGCCGAACGCACTCCACCTTTCGTTTATTCGATGATCGAAATCGCGGTCGAGCAATCAGGCCCTCAACCGCGACTATTATCAGAGAGAGAACAAGAATACCAGTGCAGTAAACATCTACCACCACCACACTTCTGCCGGCGCCAAAGAAACATGCTATAAACGGGCGCATGCTCCGTTCGTTTTCGGCAACACGACACTAGCCCAGAGGATCTAGACACTTGGCGAAAAAGTTGGCGAGAAATCTGGCAGCTGAGATTATCATAGTAGAAAAACCCAGAGCCAAGGAGCTAAAAGGTCCTGTCCTGTCCTTTTAGCTCCTTGTCTCTGGGTTTTTCTACTACTATATTCGCCACCAGCTCGCCAGCGACTTTAAACTAATTTCATTAAGCCGTGATTAGCCAACGACTCACTTGACCTTGGAGCCGGCTAATCATAGCTGCCAGATTTCTCGCCGAAGTTTTCGCCATGGGTTCAGATTAGGGCCTTAGTAAAACAAGCCAGTGCAGCTAACGCTCCAAGATCCTGCATCAGCGAGTTATATATGCCTGCCTACGCGTGGTTTAATCAATGCACTGTGGGAGTCAAATGGGATGGAAGATGGCGGCTGTGGCCAAGAGTGACTGCACTTGACTTCCCAAAGAATGTCGCCGTTTCATGCTCAGTTCATAGCAAAGCTGACAGGCCGGTGGAACCAACATGGTTGACGGACCTGTCAAGCACCGGCCTACCCACACGTGAACAAAACGGGGGGGGGGGGGGGGGGGGGGGACGGGGGACGTCAGGCAAGGAAAGGCAAGCTATGGATTTGTCCAGCGATCCCACATCTACCACCATTTTGCCAGCTTTGCTCGCAGCCAACAACTTTGAGGCAGTCTATACCTCGCGCAGCCGTTACGCAACACTCACATGGTACAGGGCGCAGAAACAGGAAGGTTTTGGTATGCAGCTGATTCTAGCTTTCGTAGGAGACTCGGTTGACTCGGCTTGACTAAAAGACAATTAAGACTGGTGGCGATCGTTAACTTTCGATTGCTCTACAGTCACTCACAGCTTAGATTAACAGCAGGGCGTGGTCGGTCCCAAGGATTCGGTTAATCGCTTCTCAAAAAATAAGATCTCGTCATTGGCCGACTAGAGCACCGAAGGACGAATCACGAAGGAAACAGCGGGAACATAAGAGACTGAGCCTTGACTTTCTTAAGCTGTCGGTGACTTATAGCAATGGGCGCGACCAAAAGCGTCGTTGTGATCCAAGATCGCGATTGGTCAACCCACAGCGTCCTGTATACTGATAGTGTCAGCCCAAACGCGGGTTCACCGCAAGGCAAATCCTAGTCAAGATGTAACGAACGGAAACCAGAACAGCGCCAACGAAATATATCGGCACTAATAGAGACGGCTGACTCCTAGTCAGCCTAGTTTGTAGACTAGGCCAACACCGGGTTTGTAGACTAGTTTGTAGACTAGCCAACACCGGGACGAGAAACTCATGACATCATCGTTGAATTTCGCTCTGAGAAGTAAAAACTAACAAAACGTGAGAATGACGTAGTCATGCCTCTGACGTAGTGGCTCAACGTTTGCCGCTCCAACTCCGTGGCATTGACTCCGCTGACGATTGCGCCTCACGTCGCGCGCTAGAGTTGGCAGATTTAGGCGACTTGGCTCACTTGAAGGTTTGCTGGCCAGTTTATTAAATGTATAGACGGAATTAGATCGTAATATTTGACATGGGGTCTTCCTATATGATACTGAAGAGGGCTACATAGTTTTTTAAATATCAAAAATGAAGCGGAGTTGCCCTTTAAAAGTATTTAGAGTACTCCTCAAGTTTTTTTCACTGCAGAGTATCTTGGGTAGAGTACAATAACTTAGAAATGTAATTTAATTACTTTTGAAGATATTTATTGCGTAAGATTATATCAGTAACACCGGAGTACTATATTTGCAAGCAACAGAAGCAAAACATAAAATTAGAGTGCTCTTCTATGCAGTACCAGTATAACAAATATTATGAGACTAGTGAATGTCACAAAGAGTAAAAATAGGATTTTGTGCTATCCGCACCTTGGACGCAATGTTTTGCTAAACGCCAAAGTTGACATATGTCTAGAGTCAACGTTAAACTATATGTGAGCAAATTACCAAAGTGCAGCATTCAGAGGTAACTGAACTTCAAGAAGAAAAGCGCAAGGGGACCCAAAGAACCCCTTCTATTTTTTTTTCGTTGTTGTCGATTTTTACTTTTATTCCCCATATTAAGTAGCGCGCTCAAAAAAGCCTACAACTTAGGAAGCGCTCTTTGCTTTCATCTTGAGGGCTCGTCCTGTTCCTATCTAGTTTCCTGCCTTGCTGCTACAATCTTTGTCTGAATGAAAGGGTGGGGCTACCCCCGTTCCCTCTACGGTGTCTCCAAGAGTGCCAGACGGCGAAAAAAACGGACATTGTCGTCAGAACAAACAAAACAGAAACATTTTTTGAGCTTGCAAGTTTGGTTTTGGTTTGTTTCCTGTTCTGTGTTTGGTCGCTTCCGCTTCAAGTTTAAGCTGGGTGCGCTGATTCCTAGTCCCGTAAAAAAAAACTCCCGCGAGAAATATTTTCATGCACTAAAAGTATATTTGAGATTATGAGTACAAAATACTGAGAAATGCAATTAAGATAGAGCAGTAAAAACTTCCTGTCAAATATATTCGCATGATCCCAAAATACTACTGAAAGTTAATGAAGGAAAGTGTGCTGAGTAGGGTATGTAAGTTAGGTAAAAGTCAGACCTACCTGCGAGGGGCGGCGTGACGCTCCGGCGTCCGTAACGTCCGTTGGGCACGAACTGCGGGGTACCTTTTGCGGCCGACGCGACGCTCAGCACCAGCAGGGCGATGAGGGCCACGGCCCAGGCTCGGCAGTGCAGCATACTGGCAGGGGCTGAGAGGCGACACAGGAAAACGAGCAGAGAGTGAGCCTTCGACGCGGCGCCTATAAATATCGCGGGCAATGCATGGCTTGCACGTGACATTGTCTCTCCAAATCGAATTGTGTTGTGTGTATAATTATGATGAATCGCTTTGGCGGATTCAAATTCAAGAACGCGCCTTGCTCGAGTCTTTAGTGTGGAAGATGCGAGCGCGCGTTTGCACGCCCAAGAAGCTTGGGCGTGCAGCACTCGCTTCAAATCACCCCAATAAGCAGCTCTCCAGAATGCATAGAAATTCCAACGCGAGTTACCGCAAACTTTTTCTTTTCCGAATGCTTATGGCGATGAGCTCACTAAGAAAACTTGGCACGCGGCATTCGAACCACAGATATTGAGGTGACTCCTGCTTGCAGACTTTCTTTTGTCTGAGGTATGAGAATTGTGACCCCGGGTCTAGGAACGCTCAGAGCTCCGATCCCTACGCCAAAGTGAGAAACACCCTTTGAAAAATGCCGCGGCGATTCAGACGGCACTATTATCAACTCGAGAGTGCGATAGAGTAAAAGACAAAGGTAAAAGAGTATGCAGGGGAAGGAGGAGGGGGGAGGAATGCCTATACTTATGTCAGAGCGCCAGGAACGCCAGCGCCGGGATCCGCTTCCAGTGTAAATGAGCGGTAACCGCTCATTCACTCTGGAAGCGTATCCGCGTTCGCAAAGCGGTTGCGAACATGGTTGTATACAGATCCAGTACAATTCCACGCGCACTTTATGTCATCGGGTGCGCGTGCAATTGTACTGGATCTTTATAGACGCTTTGCAGCAGCTGTGCATGGGCTCCGCCATAGCTGACCTTCAGTTTTTGTTTCCTCTTATTGCGTTTAATTCACGTCATCATCACCCTAGCAGGGCAGGTCACTGCCATTTTAGATTTTATCGTACACTTCTCCCCAGCATCGGCCTTTGTGAAGGCTCGTCAAAGTTCGCTTCAATGCCTCGGCATCCGGATAAGACAAGAGAAGGTCAGCAATGGCTGCCGTAATCTGGCGCGTGTGCAAAGCGTCTATACAACCGCGTTCGCAACTGCTTTGCGAACGTGGATCCCCTTCCAGTGTGAATAAACGGTTAGTGCGCTGAGAGCTATCTTTGCTCGCTCGGCGCGTGCGACGTGAGGATGCTCGCCGATAGTAGCAGCTAAAGCGCGCGCTCAGCCAGCATGCGCTTTAGCTGCAACTATACTTCGTTTCACCTTATGTTGTACCGCAGCGAAGGCTAGAAGCGCGAGCTCATAGCGTTGGCAGCTGGCCTTGGTGCACGAGAGCTTGCGAGATCTGCCCTAGGGCAAGGAGCTCGCGCTTGTAGCCTTTCCTGCGGTACAACACAAGGTGAAACAGAGTATAGCGGCGGGTTTCCTCGCGCCGCACGCGCCAAGCGAGCAGAGATAGCGGTGATAGCTTAGCGCACTAAGAGGCGCAGTGCTGAAGCTTGGGGAGGGTCGAGCGAAGGGCGTAGACACATTGGCGAAGGCCGCGCACCCTCGCCCCTAGGCTCACTTCCAAGTGGCGCAGCTAAAGCCCCTCGATCTGCCCTCGGCCCTCGATGTGTTTGCGTTTGTCTTGCAAGTAGCGTCAAATGTGCCAGTGCACGGAGCCCGTGTCCTGAGCGGCCCTTGGAAGCAAATGGCGGCGCAGCACTGAAATAAGCGGCCGTTGGAAGCGAATGGCGGCGGAGCACCCACTCAAGGCACGTGTCTTGCGCGTTCCGACAGCAATGGTTGGCGGTACTTGAAAGCGTGAATTATCGAGGGACTTTAGGCGCAGCCCACTGACCTCTATTGCAGTAGGCTCGATCGCGGACCGCGGCCCGGCAGCTGGGGCCGAGTGTCGCCACCAGCGGCCATTGATTGACACCAGCCAATGCCATGACACTCTATTGAAAAAACTAGAAGAAGGGCCGTTTCTCCTGTTTCTCAGCTTGTGTCGGCACTGAAACCTTCTAGCTGCTTTTCGATAAGCCCGTCGAACAGCTTGCGTACAAACATGAAAACTGACAGTCCTCGCAGTTCCTAAAAATAAATATTTCGTGGCCGAGAGTGACTCTTCTGGGCGAAAAATGTAGTGCATCTTAATGAGGCGAGAGTTACTTAGAGTTACCGCGGAGTCGGTGGCGATCTCGTTGAGCTGGCTTTAGCAGACCACAAGCTCGAAGGTTTTGCTACGCGGAATTCGCTCACACACGGAAAACCGCTACCGACATGGAACTTCTTTGTCATTCATCAACTTCTGGGCTTCTCCGGGGACGGTCTCATTGACGGCAAGTTCATTTGTTTACTCCACTATGAGAGCAAGCCTGCCAGCTCAGCCGTAGGTGCTGAGGTACGTTTGATTTTTTTTAATCGGCGACCGAACATTTGATAAACGCCGGTTAGATATCGAAATACCCGACATAAGGATCGCAGCACACCATAAAATACTCGCCTCCAAGCACAGCGTACATGCTTCAATATTCTTACTGTTGTGCGTTTCTCCCATAGACTTGCGTGTATTGGCTGGTGCCAAGCAATGGCCTCCGGTGGCTACACCGACGGGCTCCCGATCCGCGATCCAGCCTACTACAATAGAGATCAGCGGCGCAGCCTGTACCGCGAGCCACGGGGTTCTCTGTTCGCATTTCATTTTCCCCCGATAGTACATACACTTGCTTCGGCGTGTTCGGGAGTTTTATCGACCCCCAATTTCACTTTTTGAGCTTTCGTTTTGTCTTAGTTTGACGCGATGTTTGTGAACCGTGCTATTTGGGGGACGGGATATTTAGGAGTATTCAGTTTAACCCAAACACTCTTTTGCTTAATATTACTCCAGACAAAACCTTAAAATTTAGCCGAAAGAAGCACACACAGGCACACACATAAACTATAAGACGTTTCTGTTCTTTCCTCGTGGGCTTTCCGGGATGCGACGGCGCACCATGCCGTTTCCGAGGCCGTTATACCCTCGCCATTTAAAACGCGACTTATTCCCCTCGCCACCGCGACACCGCTTCATTCCCAGGTCTACGACGGGAAGTTGCTCGCGCCCGGACGCACACAATGCACTTCTGTAACCTCGTTAGCTTCAACTCTGGGTCCTCGGAGAAACCCATGTATGCGATTAAGCATTCTCGTTTCCAGATTCTTATACCCGCGACGGCGGCGTCGAGCGTGAAACTTGAAGGGTGCCTTCTGAACCCTCCACCGGACGAGGCTCTCGCCGTTTATAAATTTTAGAGAGCCTAGATTGAAGACAGGTTCCATCTCAAGCCACGGGAAGCGTTTGCAATTTAATGGCACACTCCTCCCGCTGAGAGTGATCGCAAGTATACATGCGCTGTGTTGTCGCGCAGGGTAAAGCAGACGGGAAGGCGGAGACGCGTCTGCCAACGATCGACGATTTTGCCACCTTCTCGCAGCTCTTATTACAAAGGCTGCACCAACACGCCCAAGTTGCCATTCTGCACATAAACCACCTGATCCTGATCGAGCATTTGGAAACTCTTTCTAATATAGGCTCTCTAACGAATGCTACCTACCCTCCTTCTCATGCTCCTGTTATTGTGCGCGCCGGTGTCCTGAAAGATGGAAGGCAGAGCGGAAACTTTACGCGCGGTGGAGCGTCTCATTCGATTTTGCCAGAAGGAGGAAGGGCGCGCGCGAGTGTGCGCAGAGCCTGCGGCGCGTTCGCTGAATTTAGGATGCTCGGAGCGGATGTAGAGATATGGATTCATACGCCTGATTCACTGGAGCGACGTCAAGTCGACTAGCGACCCCCGCTTTCAAGCACTCGCACCGACACTGGGGGTGCGTGCCCGTGGAGTCTGTTGTTTACGTTTTTATGTGTGCGTGTGTTTGTTCTAAGTAGAAGGAGCCAGAATCTCGGCGACGCCTCAGGTGGCTCCCTTATTAAAACAGCGGTCTTACAGGTACGGTAAACGAGATCCTGAACACAATTCCGAGATTTTCGTAAATAATGTGTTCGCGATTGCGAGAACGGACTCCGCGTTATTTTATGCTACGTTGTCCAGGACAGAGTCCAGGCCAGCGTCGCTTGCACGGTGCTGTAGCCTCACACTGCTGCGAGAGCGAATGGCTTGGACTTGCGTCCCATTCGCACGCGCTCACTCAAGTAGCTCCTGCATGTCTTCACTGCGAAAGCTTCGCTAGCCTTGACGCCGTAAGACTAAATCGTTGACGTCGAGTGTAAGCTATTCTCGGAGATATTTCTAGACGAATATATTTGTGTCGACAATGTGGTTTCTAGAGTCACCAAATGTTCCCAAGTATCGAAGCTCGCGAGCTTCGTTTCAGATCGAGTCGCGGCGCAGCGGTCGCGATCCAACCGCTGCCCTGTGCGGTTGAAGTGGGTGGAAGCGAAGCGCGTACAGTGTAGCTTTTGTTTTCGTGCGAGCTCCTCGATGCAGTTTCCTGGTCGTGGCGACACTGATTTGTTTTTATTAAAGTTTTCTTTCCTTCGTTGCGAGTGGTGCGGGACTTGCTCCTCGCTGTCTCGTCTCTTTTTCTCGCCTTAAAACACATCAAAGTCGAGTGTTAGGCTTAGCGTTTGAAAAGTAGAGTTTGAGACACAGCACCAGTGCAACCGGAACGAGCAAACGAGCCGGCAATTTTTTTTGGCGAACCAAAAAACCGGCTGCTTGACATAAAAATAAAACAAACTAGGGAAAATCAACGCACCTTCAGTTCGGTCCTAATTCTCATCGATGTGCGTGCGTACCAGGAATGTCCGTGATAACGCGCAAACGTTTTATTTTTTTATGTATATATATATATATATATATATACATACTGGATTCAGCGGGATTAATTTCCGGTAAGCGGACTGCATGGAATTTGGTACTCTGGGAACGTTCAGTGACTCTAGTGGTTCCTAGGTCGAAGGGACATGCAAAGCTCTGGAAAGTTTCGAGCCGATTGTTCAAGGGTCTCGGAAATTGCAACGTTGGTGAAACAGACGAAACCA